CTAAGGAAATTGAAGCAGTCCTCAAAAATCTCCCAAGAAACAAAAGCCCAGGGCCAGATGGCTTCTCTGGGGAATTCTACCAAACATTTCAAGAAGAATTAATACCTATTCTTCTGAAACTGTTCCAAAAAATAGAAATGGAAGGAAAACTTCCAAACTCGTTTTATGAGGTCACCATGACCTTGATCCCAAAACCAGACAAAGACCCCATCAAAAAGGAGAATTACAGACCAATATCCTTGATGAACATGGATGCAAAAATTCTCACCAAAATACTGGCCAGTAGGATCCAACAGTACATTAAAAGGATTATTCACCACGACCAAGTGGAATTTATCCCTGGGCTGCAAGGTTGGTTCAACATCTGCAAATCAATCAATGTGATACAATACATTAATAAAAGAAAGAACAAGAACCATAAGATCCTCTCAATAGATGCAGAAAAAACATTTGACAAAGTACAGCATCCTTTCTTGATCAAAACTCTTCAGAATATACAGATAGAGGGTACATACCTCAATATCATAAAAGCCATCTAAGAAAAACCCACAGCAAATAATCATTCTCAATGGGGAAAAACTGAGAGCTTTCCCCCTAAGGTGAGGAACACAGCAGGGATGTCCCCTATCACTACTGCTATTCAACATAGTACTAGAAGTCCTAGCCACAGCAATCAGACAACAAAAAGAAATCAAAGGCATCTGAATCAGCAAAGAGGAAGTCAAACTCTCACTCTTTGCAGATGATATGATACTTTATGTGGAAAATCCAAAAGACTCCATCCCAAAACTGCTAGAACTCATATAGGAATTCAGTAAAGTGTCAGGATATAAAATCAATGCACAGAAATCAGTGGCATTCCTATACACCAACAACAAGACAGAAGAAAGAGAAATGAAAGAGTCGATCCCATTTAAATTGCACCCAAAACCATAAGATACCTAGGAACAAATCTAACCAAAGAGGCAAAGGATCTGTACTCAGAAAACTATAAAATACTCATGAAAGAAATTGAAGAAGACACAAAGAAATGGAAAAACGTTCCATGCTCATGGATTGGGAGAACAAATATTGTGAAGATGTCAATGCTACCTAGAGCAATCTACACAGTCAATGCAATCCCTATCAAAATACCATCCACTTTTTTCAAAGAAATGGAGCAAATAATCCTAAAATTTGTATGGAAACAGAAAAGACCGTGAATAGCCAGAGGAATGTTGAAAAAGAAAAGCAGAGCTGGTGGCATCACAATTCCGGACTTCCAGCTCTATTACAAAGCTGTCATCATCAAGACAGTAGGGTACTGGCACAAAAACAGACACATAGATCGATGGAACAGAATAGAGAGCCCAGAAATGGACCCTGAACTCTATGGTCAACTCATCTTTGACAAAGCAGAAAAGAATGTCCAATGGAACAAAGACAGTCTCTTCAACAAATGGTGTTGGGAAAATTGGACAGCCACATGCAGAAGAATGAAACTGGACCATTTCCTTACAGCACACACAAAAATAGACTCCAAATGGTTGAAAGACCTAAAGGTGAGACAGGAGTCCATCAAAATCCTAAAGGAGAACACAGGCAGCAACCTCTTCGACCTCAGCCGCAGCAACATCTTCCTAGAAACATGGCCAAAGACAAGGGAGACAAGGGCAAAAATGAACTATTGGGACTTCCACCAAGATAAAAAGCTTTTGCACAGCAAAAGAAACAGTCCACAAAACCAAAAGACAACCGACAGAATGGGAGAAGACATTTGCAAATGACATATCAGATAAAGGCCTAATATCAAAAATCTATAAAGAACTTCTTAAACTCAACACCCAAAGAACAAATGATCCAATCAAGAAATGGGCAGAAGACATGAACAGACATTTTTCCAAAGAAAACATCCAGATGGCCAACAAACACATGAGAAAGTGGGATAAAAAACCAACCAAAAAATAAATAAATAAAAATAAAAACAAACATTTTTATAAAGAGTGAACACAGAGAGCTTTCAAACATGGTCTCTCTGTACCCGAAGCACTATGCTGAGATGTTTTTAATTTCATTCTCAGGTTTGAACTACATAACCATACCTTAGTAATCCTCTGTTTTCGGTACAGTTGTGCTGTTGTTGGGAGTTGGTGGCTTAGCCATATTGGATATTACCCAGAATATTAAGTTACAGAAGTGTAAAAGATTTAAACTGGCTTTTTCTAAAATGTTTGAGTAAAATGCTGTAATTCTAACAAATAGCTTCAAATAACTCACCTTTTAAAAATGAAGATGTAGAAACAACATCTGTTATTTAGAAGTTAAGATATTGTGTCTCAGAAATGAGATCACGTTGTATAAATGTCTTATTTACTTGTGGCTCACTATTTTGTTCATCCAGGAATCATTTATCATTGCAGCTCAGAGAGCTTGTTTCAGTATGTGTTCTGTATTTATAGGAAAATAATTTCACTGAATCAGCAGCAGAATGACATTAGCACAAAGTTACTTTTTTTCATCCTGGTACAGACTTTCACTGACTCACTTCCATACTGTTCTGCCGTCTACCTCACGAGCACTGATGCACATTTTGTAATTGGGATCCAGGGTACAGTTTCTGACTAGTGTGGAAACTGAACTCACGTGCTTGTTTGGGGAACGGAGTTTACAACCCTGGCCTTATTTAAACCAATTCCCTAAACACTGGTGTTGTGATGGAAAGTAAACACTGAAGTAAAATCATATGAAAAATGGCTAGAAAGATATGTATTATCCTGCTCAGGAGTAGAGTTGAAAATAATAGGAAAGTCTGATTCAGTTGTTCCATACAATAAGGATTTTTAAAAAAATCTTATGTAACACCAAATCCATAGGTAGAGGGTTGTCGTCATGTCACATTAAGCCTCCAGCTGGGCTGCTAGCAGACATGCCCTCCTTACACCAAGTACTAGCAGTTCAAGCAGCTTTTACTACTAAATTTTTCCATGGGCCATCCTGCCTTCATTCAGGGGTGGGAGGTGTGGCCCAGGGAAGAAGAGAGTGGATGCTGTGTAGGTCACAGCAAGCTTGTCACACACCCTGTACTCAGAGGGGTCGCATTTGGGGAGCAGACTGGGCTTAGGAGTGGCAATTCAGATCCTTTTTTAAAAAAATATATTTAAGGTGGCGCCTGGGTGGCTCAGTCGTTAAGCGTCTGCCTTCGACTCAGGTCATGATCCCAGGGTCCTGGGATCAAGCCCCGCATCAGGCTCCCTGCTCAGCAGGAAGCCTGCTTCTCCCTCCCCCACTCCCCCTGCTTGTGTTCCTGCTCTCGCTGTGTCTCTCTCTGTCAAATAAATAAATAAATAAATAATAAAAAATATATTTAACATTATTTGTCAGTGGACACAAAGTAGCAACATGGACAAAAAATCTAAACTTATACATCTGCAGTGAGGAATAACCAACTGATTAATGACTTGTGAGCAATTAAAGTAGTATTTAGGGTTGGTGAGGACAAGAAAGCTGTCCACACCCTGAAATCTTAGTCTTACAAAAATACCTGAGGGTGGCCTGGGTGGCTCAGTCAGTTAAGTGTCTGCATTCGGCTCAGGTCATGATCTCAGGGTCCTGGAATCAAGCCCTGTGTGAGGCTCCTCGCTCAGCTGGGAGTCTGCTTCTCCCTCTGCCCCTCCCCCCCTCTGGCTCTCACACTCTCTCTCTCTCAAATAAATAAATCTTTAAAAAAAAACTTAAAAGATTTTACCGAATTTTACAGTAATTCTAAAATTTAAGTGACATTTCCAATAACAAATTGTGAAGCATAAAGAAACATTTCTAACCTATTGAAATAAAAAAATCAACCATTGATGGAAGAGGAATAACCAAATTATCTTTTTCTTCTCTCCAACAAAATTGATATTATAAAGTTATTAGAATATGATGGGGTAATCAAAGAGGTCTCCAAAGTAGAGGGGGAAAGGAGATTTCAGTCAGGCATTAATGAAAACAGTATGCTAATTTTCTGGATTTTGAGAAGTATTAGGTATTTGTCATTTTTAAAAATTTATAACTTGTTAACATTTCTTTTTTCATCCATCTTTCATGAGGAGCATGACAGAAAATGCCTAGGCAGGTTCTATTTTTTTCATATTAAGACTGGGAAATAAATAGGACAAAATGGTCACAACTGTGCCTTCTGGGGTAGTCAGAATGTGAGTTTAAATTGTTATTTTTTGTGGGTTTCTGGGGTTTTCTTAAATTGCTTTTAAAAATTTCTCTTTAGGGGCACGTGGGTGGCTCAGTTGGTTAAGCGTCTGCCTTTGGCTCAGGTCATGATCCCAGGGTCCTGGGATCAAGCCCCGCACCGGGCTCCCTGCTCCATGGGAAGCCTGCTTCTTCCTCTCCCACTCCCCCTGCTTGTGTTCCCTCTCTTGCTGTGTCTCTCTCTCTCTATCAAATAAATAAATAAAATCTTTTTTAAAAACTTTCTTTCTATAACACATTGCTATAAAGAGAGTACATAAGAGCAGGAGTCAGAGGCAGATGAGGGCTTTACCAAAACTCTCGAACTTAGTAATTGTGTGACTGCAACAGATACCCTCCTTGACATGAGCCTGAGTTTTATCTATAGAATGTGACTCAAGTCACCAGTCCTTCCTGGTACCTAGGTTTTGTACAAGGATGAAAATAAGAAGTAAAAGGCTTTATAAGTTATAAAATAATTAATAAGCATAGTATTATTTATTCCACTCACATTCATAATTTTAGAAACTTTTTGTAGGAAAGGATGAATCTAGTATATATTTTCACCAAGTGGTAGAACTAGTGATTCACTTTATGAACTTGTATTTTCTTCAATTCTATATGGGTTGTTTTTGCTCTGAATCACTCAGCTATTTATTCTCCATTTTATTGATTCGAAATATGTCTTTGGTAGAGCCAAAGTACACTTTCAGTAATTTGAGGTAATAGCTGTATCCAGAAACTTAGAATGATAATCCTATAGTCATATGAACCTTGTACTTTTTGTCTCTTTCCAGGTCAATGGTGATATTCCCCCTCGGTTAAAAAAAAGTGCTCATGAAATCATCCTGGACTTCATCAGATCAAGACCCCCTTTAAATCCGGTATGTGATCTGAGTGTTCCCCTTGGTTGCAGGTCACATAGCAATGTGCTGTCCTCTAGGACATGGTCTCTAGAACTCAGCTCTCGTAGTTTTTACACACAGTTTTACACTGATCTTTTATTCTCAGAATGATGAAGCCTAACTGTAAGTTATACTCTTCAGTGACAGAAAAAATACTTAAAATTATTCAATACAAAGCTGTCTTAAGATGATTTAACTCAAAACAACTTGAGTTATGGTGCAGTTTAGTAGCCACATGTCCTTAAGCAAATTAATCAGCCTCTCTGAGCCTTTATTTCTTCAACTATAGAAAGAAGATAACAAGAGTAATCTAAGAAGATTGTGATGATTTACTCAAAAATGTTACTTTTAAAAACAGTAATAGTAATAAAGTATAGGTTACATTTCAGTTGATTGCCTATCATGGTAGCATATTGTGAACATAATTATAACTTCAGCAAAACTGACTCCTTACAATTGGTTGAGCACATATGACTGTTACTGTGAAATCCAGTAATCTCCCTATAGCTTAAAGTAGTCCTTTATCAGTGTTGCAATCAATGAAATACAATTTCATAATACTGTACTATAGGAATGGACTTCAGTAAGAATTTAAAGACATCCACTGAAGTCTATAGCCGTTACTTTTTTTCCCCCCAAGGTCTCAGCCAGAAAACTGAAACCCACTCCACCACGGCCACGGAGCCTCCATGAAAGAATATTAGAAGAAATCAAAGCAGAGAGAAAGCTGCGGCCCGTCTCACCAGAGGAGATGAGACGCAGCAGATTAGGTGAGTCAGCTGCTTACTGCACTGCTGGTCTAGCCTCAGCCACTTGAACCAGTGTCTCTATACAGCCAGACCAGCGAAAAGTAGTGGCATAATGGTGCAAAGTAAAAACAGTGTTTGTTCCTCTCTCTCTCTCTCTCTCTCTCACACACACACACACACTCGAAGTTTATACTTGAAATTCACAGAATAGGAAATTCTTTCCCCATATGATACTGAACTCCATGAGAGCATCATGGCTTAGTGGGAATTGCTCTGCCATTCTCTAGACTGTGGTTTTAGAAGAGTCCCTTTACCTCTCTGAGTGTTGATTTCTTCATTGGCAGAAGGAGGATAAAAATTCTCTGCACTTTAATTATGGCTTTTATGTAACAAATAGAATTGTGGTCAAAATACATCATAAATTGTAATACATATACAAAGCTATTATGTTTTAGAAATATGATATATAGTTTTACTTCACATTTCTGTTGTCTTAATTATCAGTTTAAAGATACAGTATTATGTGATGAAAGCAGTGATTGTTATCTGATATCACTTAACTTATTCCCGAACTTTCTTTATATTTATGTAATGTTTTTTAATGTGTACTATAAATACACATTGATTTTGATTTATAGAAAGACCATACTATAAAATGGTTGTAAACATTTTTGTTTATACAGCTCTCCACCTATTTGTAAGATTAAAGATGCCCAAAGGATTCAGAGAAACTTCCTTTAGGAAAACAGATGATAGTGGCATCTGAACAGGAAAGGAACCACACTCTCCCAGTTTTCTCCCCTGATATCTTTTTCTGCCTCTTTTAGACTCTGCTTGGTCCTTCAGATTTCTATCCTGGGCTCATCTCTCTCTGAGCAACTGTACCCTTTTCCATGGTTTTTGTTCTGGCTACTAAAGCTCCCATCTATGCACCAATCTCTCTGAGCATACACCTGTTCATCCAGCTGTCTGCTAGCTAGGGCCTACAGCAGGCCAGGAGAACCCATCTGTTTTCTCCCAAACCATCTTCTTCTGTTTCCCCATCTCAGTGTGCTCAAGCACAGAACTTCTGTGTCGTCTCTGACTTCTACCTAACAGCCAAGCCCTGTTGATGTTTCTCAGTCTAGATCTTGTTAGTTTCCTCCCAACACTATCCTAACCCAGCCTGTCATCTTCTTTGTCTAGTTTATCACATCAGCTTTGACTGCTGTCCCTGCTTCCAGCCTGGAATTCTTCAGTCATGTCATGTTGGTATCCTCTTGTTAGATTCTCAGCCCTTCTTTTACCTTGTGACCTTCTTGCCAGCAGGGCCCACATTCTTCTTGTTCATTGTTATAGAAGTGCTCCCATAGGTGCTGCAGTAATTGAATGTACCTTCCAGTTACAAAGCTACTGAGTGAGTAAAGGTTGTATCAGTTTATCCCTGTCTAATTTTTATGGCAGCAAGTGTTGTCTCTTAAAAATAATGTTTAAAGTATGCTAAGTGACAAATCCATATAAGCATTTGTATAATAATGAACTAAAACATAGAAGCCATGTGCACCAAGAGTTAGTATCCTGAGAGTCCTTGAATGGGGCTGACGAAAGTCTGTGAATCCCCTGAAATATAAAAAATGTGTGTTTATTTCACAAAGTGTATGTATGTGAATTTTTCTGGAGAGAGGTCCATAGCTTTCCTCAGTTTCCTAAAGAGTACACAGCCTCAAAGAGTAAGAACCTCTGTGGAAAAATAAGGAAGTGGTATTATGGGATGCTAGCTTAAGACTGAATTTTTTTAAATTGGTATACCTTGAAAAGAAACAGTGGGGATAAAAGAAAAGATTTCAACAAAACTATGAGACAAAACAAATATATTACCATGAGAAAAGTAAACTTCATGATTTACAGGAGTACAGAGCAATTAGGCTGAGGGATTGTCAGCTTCAGTGGAAGTACCAATAGAATAGAGAAAGGAGCAAGATAGGCATAATGTTCTTATACAGTGTGGATGATATTTGACATATGGTTCCTTCACTTTTCTAATAGTTTTTGAACCTTTTCTGTTAAAAACCATGTCATCTCCTGAGGTGCAGAGATAGCAGGAAGGGAAGACTGAAGGAGGGGGAAATCAGAGGGGGAGACGAACCATGAGAGACTATGGACTCTGAGAAACAAACTGAGGGTTCTAGAGGGGAGGGGGTGGGGTAATGGGTTAGCCCGGTGACAGGTATTAAAGAGGGCACGTTCTCCATGGAGCACTGGGTGTTATACGCAAACAATGAATCATGGAACACTACATCAAAAACTAATGATGTAATGTATGGTGATTAACATAACAATAAAAATTTAAAAAAATAATGCCTGCCCGCAGATGCTTACAGAATGACTCTGGAGTGTTGTGTATGTTCATGCTGCAAGACCATTACCACCAGCCAATCAGAAGGCGTTAGTGAGGCCATCTGAGGGAGACACTAGCAGTCCTTCTGAGTGTCAAGGGGACACCCTCATTGCTTAAAAGAGTCATTGTAAGCCTTTGTCACATACATATTCTTCTATTTCATTTTAAACAAATTAGATGCTAAATATCAGGAAACCTACTTTAATAATTACTACTAAAATAACCTACTAAATAAAACCTACTAATAAAAACCTACTAAAATAATTAAGTATCAGGAGTGCCTGGGTGGCTCAGTCTGTTAAGTGACCGACTCTTGGTCCTGATCTCATGGCTCCTAGGATGGAGCCCCATGTCGGGCTCCGAGCTCAGCAGAGGAGTCTACTTGGATATTCTCTCCCTTTGCCCCTTCCCCCATTCGCACGCTGGCACTCTCTGTCTCTCTCTCATGCTCAAATAAATAAATCTTTTAAAAAAACAACTAAATATCAATTTTATGTTGCAAGCATATCTTACTATTTTATTTTTTATTTTAACCTTATGAATGGTGTTTCACAACCATCAGAATTGACCTGTTACAGAAAGTGATTGTTCATTCTGTGAGAATCTTCTACAATTCTGACTTCAAACTGATCTTGAATCTTATTGGAAAGTAAGGGATTTGGGTTCATTTCTGAATGAATCATTGGTTCTTACCATACAATTTTGCTTTGGGGAGTTTGATTAGGATGAGGTTGGCAGAATGAACTTGAGGAGACGTTTTCCTAAATATTTTTATAACCTTTTCCCTCCATGTAATTGTGAGCAGAATCCCACTATAGAAATTGGGGAAATGTGTAAATGTTTAAAGAAGAAATGTTACCCATAATTTCAACAGCCAGAAGCATCCACTGTGAATCTACTTGTGCAGTATGAAATGGAGACAAGAACTGTATGCACAGTATTCTGTTCTCTTCACTTAACATTGTATGTGATGTGAACATCTTCCCATGTCATTAAATAGTCCCTTGTATCCTGACATATGGCTAAATTTATTTCCCTATTGTTTGACAGACTCTCCATTTTTTTTTCCTGTCAAGTCTGAAAATACTATTCTTGTGCATCAGTCTTTGTTCATGTCCAGTCATTTTCTTTTTCCTAACATCTCATACTGAATTGAGACTTTGGGTTTTAAATATAAATTGTACCTTTAAAAAGCATCTTTTCCGTAAACTTCTGAATTGCTGTTATGCTTGATTTCTCTGCTCTTTGTGATATACAGAACTTGGAAAAGATCCAAACCTCATCTTCCAAGAAATAATAGCATCCCTTTCTTATGTAGTAGTTAATCATATTTCAAAAGATAGATCCGGGGCGCCTGGGTGGCTCAGTCGGTTAAGCGTCTGCCTTCGGCTCAGGTCATGATCCCGGGGTCCTGGGATCGAGCCCCGCATTGGGCTCCCTGCTCAGCAGGAAGCCTGCTTCTCCCTCTCTCACTCTCCTTGCTTGTGTTCCTGCTCTCGCTGTTTCTGTCAAATAAATAAATAAAATCTTTAAAAAAAAAAAAAAGATAGATCCATGTATCAGAGAAGAATAGAATGAGAAGATATTAGAGAAGGGTGGCAAGTGCTTTGAGAATACGTTGTCTTTTATTTGCTATGTATAATTAGGAAAATCTAGAGTTCATAGTATTTGAATTCAGAAATGCAGGCTTTTAAACTGTGGAAAGAGCCAAGATGTCCATCAACAGATGAATGAATAAAGAAGATGTGGTATATATACACAATGGAATATTATGCAGCCATCAAAAGGAATGCGATCTTGCCATTTGCAACGACGTGGATGGAACTGGAGGGTGTTATGCTGAGTGAAATAAGTCAATCAGAGAAAGACATGTATCATATGACCTCACTGATATGAGGAATTCTTAATCTCAGGAAACAAACTGAGGGTTGCTAGAGTGATGGGGGGTGGGAGGGATGGGGTCGCTGGGTGATAGACATTGGGGAGGGTATGTGCTATGGTGAGCGCTGTGAATTGTGCAAGACTGTTGAATCACAGATCTGTACTTCTGAAACAAATAATGCAATATATGTTAAGAAAAAAAAAAGAAGATAGCAGGAGGGGAAGAATGAATGAAGGGGAGTAAGTCAGAGGGGGAGACGAACCATGAGAGAGGATGGACTCTGAAAAACAAACTGAGGATTCTAGAGGGGAGGGGGGTGGGGGGATGGGTTAGCCTGGTGATGGGTATTAAAGAGGGCACATTCTGCGTGGAGCACTGGGTGTTATGCACCCAAACAATGAATCATGGAAAACTACATCAAAAACGAATGATGTAATGTATGGTGATTAACATAACAATAAAAATTAAAAAAAATATATATGCTTGGAAAAAAAAGAAATGCAGGCTTTTTTTATGATTCACAGATATTTATTTGAAAACCACACACTAATGCATATATAAATACTATGATCCAATCAATCAGATTATGGACAGCAGAAACTGGATATTTACTTCTACAACGGTTAATTGTAATATTCCTTCATAGAAGTCTTAAATATAATTAATTATAAACAATTACAATTAATAAATGTTTAGATTTTTCTTTAGAAAAACATTAAAAATTAAATTTGAAGCACTTGTAAAATCAGCATTTTGAGGTAG